ACCATTGAGGTTCATTTGAGCATGACCCGTAACCCCCCAACGGCTTCACTAGAGCTGCTCAGTAGCTAAATGATCACATTGTGGTTATACTGGGCATTTTCCTGGTGTGAAATATGTGTTATTCTGTGAGTTTGCCTCCAGGTGTTCCTGGAAGAGAACATTCATGCCAAGCGAACACCTAGCCTGGACAAATAAAAGTCATGAAAACAGTAACTTATAATAACAACAGTAAGCGTACATAGGAAATCCAGAGTTATAAATGATCATCGGTGTGTTTCTACTTTGCACAAGATAGAGTCAGTTAGTCCCAATATACACAACAGATCTCAGCAAAAGGCAGGGTAAAATCAAGCTTACATGCTTGGAAAGAAGCAGCAAACACCTACCCTGGACAAATAGGAAATACAAGTCAAATATAAATGTCCTTCAACCAGGATAAAAACTACACGGTGTGAAAAACAGCCACAAAAATTGTTATTTGTGTGTGTGTGTGTGTGTGTGTGTGTGTGTTGCTATGTAGACTCATACGGTTCTAGGGTCATAGGGTCTAGTGTACTTTAAGGACATTTAAGGGTGGTTTCACATGCGTCTTTGTGTGTAACCAGTGGTGAAAGGCACCTAAGTACATTTACTCAAGGACTGTACTTAAGTATAATTTTGAAGTATCTCTACTTTACGTGAGTATTTTCATTTTCTGCTACCTCACACATTGATTTCATTACATTTCAGATAAAAATATGGTACTTTTTATTCACTATATCTGATAACTTTAGTCACCAGTTACTTTTCAGGATAAGGTTTATAAAACAAAATACAGCATTATTGTTCCTTGGTGTACAATCCACAAGCTACCCATCGATAATTTAAATTTTAAGCATATAAGGTAGTTACAATGAGTTCTATCTATCTTTATCAGCCACATCATTAAATGTGACACATACAATAATACATCAATAATAATAATAATGGAATATATGATGTAAATCAATGTAAACTGGGCCATTTTGCATAATGGTAATAATACCTTTACTTAAGTAACATTTTGAATACAAGACTCTTACTTGTAACAAAGTATTTTCACACTGTGGTATAGCCACATTGACTTATGTAAACAACCTGAGTACTTCTTCCACCACTGTGAGTGTCAGCGAGTTAATATGACCACAACAAAAGCCAAAAGACTTTAAAGTCAAGTACAAAACCATTACATCAAATTATAACATTTTCTTGTGTTTTGTGAAAATGATCCTCTCTCATTTTTTAAGTTTTTCTCTCTCATATAAGACCACCTAGACATGTTTACATGGTCAACTTTAGGGTCTTGCAATTATGCTAAGGGGTCCTTCAAAATAAAAGGCATTTAATTTTCATTATCAATGGTACAGAGACTAAACATGGAATGTCTATTTTGAGTCTAGTGCTAGCCCTGTTCGCAAAAAGGAAAAATAAAAAATAAAAATGAAGAACCAGTAAAATTCAATCACCTTCCACTATATTCTTGTAAAATGAGCCTATCTGCCTGTTAACAAGAAGACTGCTACGTCACTTTTTCTGCTGCCACCGACTGTACAGGGAAATATTTAAACATTGGCTCATGGGCTTGAACACAATTTTAAATGGTTCCCCAACAAATAAATACACTAAAAATACTTACAGTAATATGTTTATAGCCACAAATTTATTTCTAAATTGATGTCTAAATGTCCCAGGATACTGCAGACAGTACTGCTTCCAAAGCCAAAGATATTTAAATCAGGGTGCTTGAGCCAGGGTGCTAAGCCTGTTGATGCTTATTTGCACCTAAGTATTTAAATGACAAGGATATGCTTCTAATGCCCCAGTTGAAAATGGCCTTGAAGTTCAGGCCATGAGTGGAAAAATGCTGAAACAGTTGCAATTTAGTGAGTCACTTCTCTCAACAAAGGATCTCTGCCAGAATTCCTTCTCATGGGAGTTTAAATTGCTGCTGTTTCCTTTGTTTTGACTCATTAAAAACTTTTCTAATCTGATTTCTCTGGGGTGCATCCAGGAGTTCACACTAAAACACACATCGGCGCAGACAGATATTTCTCAGCTCATTACTGCATCTACGCAGGGAGCACAGAAGGACTTTAGAATGAAGATTATGCCCAATTCCCATCACGCATACTATAGTCTGACATTTATCCTTTATGTTTTCACACTTTAAGTAGGGCTTGAAACTTACATACAAACATTTACTCACACGTTAGACTTTTTTTAACAACTCCAATTAAAGAAGGCTGTGTCCCAAGTCCTTTCAGAGACAAATCCAAGCTCTTGGCTGGCTGCCCTTTTCTTCATGTGGAGGCAGGTGTCCCGACTCCTCCCCAGCAGTGACCATCCCTGCTCAGCTGAACCTGTACACAGCACCACTCCGACCACAGTAGATCAATGCTGTGTAAGCCCACAGGAGCATCCATTAATCAACCAGTAACAGTCCTGTCCAAGGCTCTCCCTACACACACAATGCACCTTTAGGTGTAATTGCAGACCATCACACTTGGCAATTGGAGCACAGGATGAGCTTTTTGGATTGACACATACTGAACCAGGCAGCAAACAGTGGACCAGGGCCCAGCAGCAATAAGAGAGTGTGAAGCCAATGCATCATTCCACAGCAACAACTGTGGCCATTCCTCAGAGGTATCAGCCTCTGAATGAGACAGGCTGAGACTGAATGAGAATCAAGATAACTGGATTGCAGCCCTTTCCCTGCTGATTTTTCTGCTTTAAAAACACACGGAACTTGTAGTGTGCTGCTTTAAGCACCACAACAGTTTCGCCATGAAACCTCTGTTAGGTAATTTCTTAGTTAGATAGATATTGATTAGAGATCTGTTGTATTAGAAAATGTTAGTGTAGCCAGGATGTCTAGCTCAGGCTGTTAAATGCTTAGTTCATTGTCATGAGTTCTGCAGGCTGCATGTGGGCCCCAAGGTCAACTAGATTGAAGAGTCTGCAGGCAGGATGAATATTGCTATTATTATTGCTATGTTCAGCCGTAATCTTAATCATAACATTTTCGGAGGCTTACTGTTCGGACATGTCCCTGAATTTCCTGTATGTTTTTAGATACACACCACATAATCAACGCTCACACACACATTGATTCTCTCCATGTTTTGACTACTGCTACGGCCAGCTGTGAAGCTGGCATATCAGGTGACGGCACGGTTGACGTTCCTGTGTAGCATGGGCTAGCCCAACCAAGGGATAAAATTGTATAGGCATGAGGGTTCAGGGTCTTTTATCCTCCATGCTGCCTGCGCGCAGGTTTGGGGGTGGAAGATGCCTGGACGTGTAATGTTAATTCTTGCCTGTGACCCTTTGAATAAACCAGCATGGTTATATTTTTTTATATACTCAAGTGGTCCGCTTCGTCTCACTGAGTTCCTGGTTTGAAAGAACCGGACAGCTTTGGGGGTGGAAGATGCCTGGACGTGTAATGTTAATTCTTGCCTGTGACCCTTTGAATAAACCAGCACGGTTATATTTTTTATATATCCAAGTGGTCTGAGTCGTCCCTCTGAGTTCCTGGTTTGAAAGAACCGGACGTGGCTTTATAATAGAATAAAGCCTTTACCTCCATGTACCAGATAGAGATGAACAAAGCTTCACACACTAAACAATTTAAACAGGGACTGTCTATGGACTGTGGAAGGCTTTAATCTCATTCAAGTAACCTGAGTCATGTGTCGCCTGCTCCCACTTCATCTAAAAACAGCACCCCTTGTTAAAACAAATGCCATACAACATGATCTAAAAGTGGACAAGGGATACTCAACACTTCTCCCCCTGGCGACTATGACTTGCACAAGTTTAAGCATCTGTCATCTCAAAGTTTGCAGTACACTACTGCCACCATGTGGTAGCGTTAAGGCTGAACACCACACGGCAAACATGGGTGGAAACCTTGGTGTAAAAAGGAAACAAGATTTATGGTTAGCACAGTAGCATGTGTCAGAAATTGCAAGGATTTTTTATGTTTGAATCATGTTATACTTCTGCAGCTCCTTTCACGTTTGAAAAGTAAAGTAGTGACACTGACGGTTCTTCTAAGGCCAAATTAGTCTTTTCATTTCTTGATGGTTACTCTGGGTGAGTGTGGAATTTGTATAAGAAAGACGGGCACCAGCAGCTTTTGAAAATCAATAAAAGGTACAGTGCTCCTGTAGAGTATGTGTTTAGTAAGAAATGCTCTGTAAGCAAGAGAGATATGGAGCTCTGTGCTGGAAAATATGTCAAGCCCCTACACTACACAGGTAATCGAGTAACAGCAAAATTAGAGATTTTCCCTTATCTGAGTATTATGTAAAGTTTGTAACACTTAATGAAGTGTACATGCGCATTGAGAAGTACTGTACCAGAGTCAAATTTCTCCTACATTAAACATACCAGAAAAGTGGATTATGATTAATCTGCCTCAAGTGAAAGGTGATCATTTACAAAATGTCTGAGATTGTGTTCAGACATACAGCCCCCCATTACAGGATTGGACTGTTGCTATATAGCTCATACTGAGACAAAAAAAAAAAAAGTACTACACTAATCATCCACTACATTTGCTGTATTATATATATATAGGATCTGTTGCAGCCACTCTCCCAGTTTGGGGGTCACAGCCCCCAATGTTCCTGTTACCAGAGGGACCACTTGTGCTTTCACCTTCCACATCTTTTCTAGCTGTGCTTTCATAAACATACAAAGCTCAAAAAAAAAAATAATAATAATAATAGTAAAGGGAACACAACATAAAACATCCTAGAGCTGAATGAATGAAATATTAAATACCTTGTTCATTACATAGTTGAAGGTCTTATTTTCCCTTGTGTTCCCTTTATTTTTTTTTGAGCAGTGTATATTCATGTTTCAACATTTTGACAACGCAGTGTGTTGTAAATGTATTATTCAATCTACTTCACTGCCGTCTTTGGTAGCTGGCAGGAGCTAATCAGAAAGAAAAAAGTACATAAACTTCATGTAATAAAGTGCATTTATTGAACAGCATTCATTAAAACACCATGTTACCATACAACTACAAAAGTGATAATTCACAATCATTAACCGGCATGTATTTCACATCAATCTTCTTGTAAACAGTCAAAATGCCCACTGACATTTAAGGTCACCTTACATCAGCCACCCGAGGACCGACCTCCTTGGCCTCCCACACCTCTCACAGTGAAGCCGTGTCCTGGCAGGGGTGACCTGGAAAACTCTGACAACAGTGACTGTGGGAAGCACTTTCCATATATTTTACTACTATTGTCATGACAATGACAATGCAGTGCAACAGAATACCTGCTCGGGTTTACCTGGATTTCACAATCCTCGGCCAGAGCAAAGCTGAGGTGCGTTTGGCTCGTTCCTCTGGGCGGCGCCACGCAGAGCCAAGGAGCGCTCCCTACTGGGCGGGCAGCGTCCCGTGCGCCGCTGTGAGACAAAAAGCTCAACCATGAATCATCCGACAAATTAAGTCATAAAATTACATGACTACATTACAGAAATATACACCACACGCAGGTTCTGTATTTATAATACAACTCTTCACACCTTTTTGTCTTAGGCGAAAAGAGGAAGCCGGACCACTTTCACAAGGCCACGTAGACCGGTTCAATCCGGTTCAACCCGGTTACCAACACAGCTCAAACATTTCGTCAAAGTCTCGCTGCTGAAAAGAGAGACAGCTTTCATAGCCCGAGTCCAGTTCAGCATACACGCTCCTGGGAGAAAGCCATTCACCATACAGATGTCCAGATATTTCAGGTGAAACTGGAACTGAGTGGATGTTTGACTTCATGTCTTCATACACGTTATTCATCAAGTATTGCGTGGTGTTTGCCGGCGCCATTGCCCCTGGTGGATGACTGTGCACACAGGCCGTAGCGGAACCTTCTTTATACATGGACTCCGTTTTCTTTGTCTTATCCACATCTTCCAGCACTTGAGCGAATTTAGCCAGGTGTGGCCGCTTTGACTGCTGCCGAAGGTTCTTTCTGATGGTCGCCCTCACCGCGGTGGCTCGACACTGTTTGGGAGCCTCGTTGTCCTGTGTGGCAACGTGGAACAATCTCCATCTCAACGTAGATCCAGGTTTAAAGTCTTTACGCAGCCAGACGGAATTTATGCGTTTCGTGTTGGAATCCATCATTTTAACGCACATTTCCGACCAAAAATAGTGTTAGAAAAACTCTCGACTCCGACAATGACTTGACGGGTTTCGTTTCTTCGCTCTGACCAGCAAGGTAACGCTCCTTATCTGAACAAAACAAAAGTTTGAAAGACTGGCAGTGATAGCCTTTCTAAATTATAATAAAAAAAATACAGAACAGGTTAAGTAGCTGCTAAACATTTGGTGCTGAAACAGCACGTCAGCCCTTAAGTTCCCTCCAACAAGAAATACGTTAAAACGTTTGGGTCCCGTTGCATTTATTGAGCGCAAACACCCACAATCCTTTGCACTCTGACAACACCGGAAATGCTTTCTGCCCGTGCTGCCACATAGTGGCGTGGAATGAGACATACAAAACCCCCGTTGATACTTCAAGGAGGATACAATACTGAAAACCCATCTCTTCACATTAGTGATGGGAAGTCCGGCTCTTTTCACAGATTCGGCTCTTTTGGCTCGGCTCTCTTAAAAGAGCCGGCTCTTGTGGCTCCCAAGCGGCTCTTAATTTATTATCACTCTGCGCCTATTTTTAAAGCCTAATTTTGCTATTATAAATGGTTTGTGTGTTTCTAAGCATTTGTTTATTCGGTGTTTTCATAAAAGCCTTATTTTTATCCAGTTTTCTATTTCAAAAAATAGACAGTCACTACTGTTTAACACTTTAATCA